AAGAAGTGAGAATTGGTCTGTGTTCCAGAATTTGACTGAGGTCGCACCAATGGCGCACAGTGAAACTTAGGGTCTGCACTCCTAACTCTTCCACCAGGTACCGTGTCCATGAAGGAAGAAGCACTTGTGTTAGCTAGCAAGAAGATTCCAGAGCCTAACACTGAAAGGTTATAGATTCTCCTTTTCCACAGATATTTCAAAACAACAAACAAGTACATGTGACAACACACTACATTATTCTAAAGTTGAATTATGAAAAGAAGTCCAATCAAGAGGTCAGAGAACACATGGAAAGAAATCTTTTCAAGGTACATATTAGCCTTACAAATACCAACAGAAATCTTCAACACCAGTAAAACCTAAAAGTTTTTCTGAGAAGGTAAGTAAGCGCTGACATTTTCCAAATAGAACCTTTCTAAGTATTGTTTTTGTATAGTGAAAACATCATTATTTTAGAACAATCATAGACAGAAAAATGTTTTCAGGATTCCAAAAGTATTTCAACACCTCTCTCATATAACATTGGTTTAATCAATAGAGAGCAGCACTCTGACTAAGTTACTAGAGGTTCATGAGTTTTTAGCTCATTAATAGGAGCTACATATATACTACCCAAATTACACAGAGTAAAATTTACTGCCCAAATTATTTTGAAGGTCCTAAGAATGAGAATGATTTTATGACAGCCTGAGGTATCGAGAAAGAATTCAATCTTGGCCCCCCTCTCAAGAGACTTGAACAACTAACTGGAAAGAGGCTTTTCTAGGAATAAGAAGCCTGGCTGAACTCTTTGGCCCACTGGGCCTTGGCTGGCACAGAATCCAGTCATTCTGCTTAAGTGACCAGTATCATTCAGATCGGATCTTGGTTGGTGTTTCATGTTGTATAAAAAGGTGATTACCATCGGAAGGGCAAAATCAGCACTGACAGCTCAGTATGCATTCCTAACCTAGGAAACTTTCCTACTGGTGGGTGTTGGAGAGCTATCATAGGAAGGAGTGATTTCAACAATGGAAGACAATGTAAGAAAATAAGAGCATAAGTCAGCAGGGCTGGGGTTTAGTCTTAGAGCACATTCTGTGTTCAAATCAATATTAGCGATTACAGTTCCTATGTTATTAAGAAAGATTTAAGGGTGGTGACCTTTAAAAGGCTTGGAAATTGAACCTTACAGACCCTCCCTAGCCTTTGACAAAGGGCTTAGTGATTTGCTTTTGGTTTGTTTACTCATTTATTTGGGAAGTGATCAAACACATTGGTATAAACCACAGCTCTTGAATCCTGTCTAGGTTTGAAAGCTGTCTCCATCTCTGCCTTCCTTCTGGCTTTGGATGATTCATTTGATCTCTCCTTGACTCAATTTCACAATCTGTAAAGAGGAGAGTAACATCAGTACCCCTCACCAGGCTGTTGTGAGTGTTAACTGAGTTCCTATGAGCAAAGCGCCTACAGTGGCAGTTGACATGAAGAAAGGACTCAGCAAATGTTGGTAGGCTTTTGCTATAATTGTTATTTAATAGACATAGAAAATGCACTATCCAGGTGAAGCAGAGAACACAGACGAGAGTCAGTTACATAAATATGCAAAAGCACAATTCATGTCTAGCTTTAGGTTCCTAAGCCACTGCAGACTGACTTTATATTACACTGCTCCACACCCTACCTTGAGGGTACAAAAGAACAAGTTTGTGCAACTTGCCTGGGAACATGGCTGACCTTCGTTATTCAAAGTGGCATCTCTTTCATAGGCTGGACTGGGGCTCTGTATACCAGGTATCAGACTGCTCCGTACTTTTGTCAGGTACATTAACTCTCCGAACACTAGGATGCTATTTAGCACAGGATTAGTCATTTACTAATTACTAATTACTCCAGTGGCCACAGACCTGAGGTCAGCAATTCTCTCCCTTCACACCAGGAGGGTCCAGCATTAACAGAGGCCAGACAGGTAATTTGCATAGCCTTTACTTCAGAGAAGAGACCAAGAAAGAAGAAGGTAGGGGAGGATTCTGTGTTGAAAGTTGACACAAATGTGACTGAAGTTCCCATAGCTTCCCATGGGGATGCCTGGCCCATTTCTCCTGTTGGGATCTGTTAGGTTCTTTCTTTTGATACTTGGGCAGGCCAGCTGGGGGAGCTGGACAAGGTCTAACTCTGGGCCCTATGTCACTTTTATTGGCTGGAGCATCTGGAGAGCCATCCAACTGTGTTTGCCAAAGTTGCTTGTATGTGAGAAGTGTGTTTGTTTTATGATCAGTGTCTTGGGTTTTAAGTAAGAAGACTGCAGGAGATGCTGCCGCTGTGATCCTTGCTAATGTACCTCTAGGCTAATAAGTATTGAGATTATCCTGTTCCTTGATTTCATGAATAAGGAAATAAAATGGGAAATATATGACATTTAAAAATTATTGTTATTGCTGAGTGTAAAATTGATTTTAACCCTCTCTGTAGTGGCTCAGTTTCAAGTTGCATGTGCGGCTGACAGACTGTGTCTCCTGTTCCTTCCCTCCTTAAATATGTGCGTATTTACTTCCTGCAGAGTTCAATTTTAGAACCCATCAAAGTAGATCCACTCAGACTCTGACTACATTTTCATGCATAAATTCATAGATGTCTTCAGAAGGAATTGCACTTGCATATGCAAATACTTTCCGATGCCTTTTCATTTCTACTTTTGGACTGCACAGTTTTTAATTCATGCAAACACATTACACAAACAAATATGGGCTCAATAACAACACACGGCATGTGTGAATTGTTAATTGCAAAGCTATGAGTTCGATATGGCCAAGCAACTTCCATTATTATCAATGGAGGGGAACAAGAGTCAACAGGAAGCGTAAAGGTATATTTGAAAATAAAATCCCAACACTTGGTTTTGTCTTATGTAAATATTAATAAGGGGCAAGCTGATAGGCCAATCCACAATTCAACACTAATCTGGAATCTCCAGCTCAGTGCACAATGATCTATAAGCCAAGATGCACCTTTAATGAGATGTGGGTGGGAGAGTGTACACTTCTGCACAGAATCACAGAAACAAAAACGTGTGCAGCAACACCATAAAGAACACAAAAACCACAGCAGAAAGTGGAAAGCATTTAACCACATTGAATGCTCCCACCTTTCAAAGTATCTGGGTCTCTTCTTAGCCACATCTTGGATGTAAGAGACAAGTGTCCTAATTTCTTCCTATTGGAAATGTAAACTCTTTCTTCATTAATCAAGCCATGATTCTTCATATTTTTTTCCCAGTTCCCACTACCTGCTATTTGGGGTCTGATGTGAACTTAGGGAGTAAGACATGGTTGTTGAAGTTACTCCTAGATCAAAGGCATTTAATCCACACCAATGCTCAAGCATCCCCTGCCTGTTGTCTCATGGAACAGGACCAGTATATGTCTTATTTTCATGAGGAACTCAGAAAACAAAAGAAACAATTAAATAAAAAGTGTTTCCTGCAACGGTCTACCATGGCAATGAAAACAGAATTTAACTGTTTCTCTGTTCATTTTTCTCAATATTCAGGTTTAATATAAATGGGCTTATATGAGAAGATGCTTCCTGAATGACCTCTGAGTATAGATTATAAATCACAGGCAAAATGTCAATTAATAATACACACGTGTATGTTTTCTATAAAACAAAGTAAATGGAATTTATAATTTCAGGAAGCGAAGGAACCAGGAATGGAATTCCAAGCTCAGGTACTTGATTTGGAACTAAACTCATTACAACACTGATCGCCAAGGACATAGAACAAGAAATAAAGAATAAGTGTTACGAAACAAATGATGTAATAGCCCAGCAGAGCAAGGCCAAGACCCGGGGTGCCACCAGAGCGACCCTGCACTTGTATTTGCTACAGCTTGTGAGTTCACTTGCAATTTTGCTGAGCCGTTGTTGTAAATAGCACATAGCGGGCTGGTTCTCAAGGGGCAAGACACAGGGTGATCGAGGGAGCCTCAGTCCTGTGCCCCTGACACTGAGTGCATTTGTCTATATGCTGCAGCTTTAGTAGCAACCCTGGCCCAGTGATGCAGAATTCTCCATGGGCACTGAGCAGGAAGAGGATGCCAACTGTCAAGGCCTGGGAGAGAAATAGCCTTCTCCCCCCCCACAAATCAAAATACCATAATAAAATTACAGTCTAGGATAAAAGTAGGAGGGAGAGTTATATTAGTGGGGTTGATAATAAACTGTATGTGCTCATCTATGCTCTGAAACATGAAAAATGCAGAAATCAGAATTAACACCACATTTTGGAGGGGAGATAAATGACATACTATCTTATAGGGGAAATTCATATATCCATCTTTGGCAGTACTAGATTTGAACTCTGGGTCTCATGCTTGCTAAGCAAGTGCTCTACCACTTCAGCCACAGCCCCAGTCCTTTTACTTATAGTTTGTGCTAACTTTGCCTAGACTGGCCTCAAACCATGATTCCCCTGTCTCTACCTCCTAGGTAGCTGGGATTACAGGTGTGCACCACCATCATTTATTCAAAGTGAATCTCAGAAGGCTAGTGCATGAAACAGCAGAAACTTAAGCTCTTAGAGGCCTCAAAGAGAAGAGTTTGGAGCACCTGCCTGCAAGGCCCTGAGTTCAAACTCCAGGACCATAAACAAATAAGAGAGAAGAGTTGAAAGCTACAGATAATCTCATACTCTCCAGGTAGATATTCCCTATTGTTTTAGGAATATCTTTTATGGAGCCAAGAGTCTACTATATGTTAGTTCTCCTCTGTCAAAACCCAATGTGGCAGCTCTCCAAAAATAGTCATAACAAAACTGTTAAGGAATTTGGAGTCCAGGATAAAAGATGCACCTCTCTATTGCCCACAGTTGAAGATGGTCAACAGAATTGTTCTCCTAACCTAACTGCTTGCCAACATGCCTTCCTCCCCAGTTTCCATCAACCCCAGTCATCCATGGGCAACAGAGCAAGTCAAAGTTGTGACAAAGCTTAGAGTCAATCAACAGGGCCAACTCTACCTACCTTGTCTAGGAAACTCATCTGACTCCCGGTGCACAAGGTCAGTGACTCGGTTTCCATAGTGCATCCTGCTGTCATGGTCATAGGCCTTCAGAGTCTCACTGGAGCTGTAGGATTTCTGCGTGGGCACACGGCAATCCTCGCTGTCCAGGGACGAGCTCGTGTAGCGACACTCTTTGCCACACCGTCCTCTGGTCAGAGAGCGGTGGCGCCGGTCCTTGACATCCATTATCCCAGGATGAGCAGAGTTCAGCAGCTTTCAGGAAAGTCAGGCTGGGGTTTTGGTACTTGTCACTTTCCCCACCTAAAAACATCAAAGACAAAGCCCAAGAGTGTGACTCTAAGTAGTTTTGCCTTCAATTCTGATCCCTGCTCTGCCTTGGAGGAAGATATGAAAAGACTCAACTTCTTTTGCAAAAGCTTAATACGTACTTAAACAATTGGTCTAAGTAGAAGAACCTGATACAGTAAATTAGTTTCCTTGCTGTTTAGTTTAATAGATTTTGAGGGGAAAATAATAACAAAAAAATCTCATCTTTTGATTTCTGTATGTGCACAGATGACATGATAATTCTGTCACTCTAATGTGAAATGCTGTTATGAAGCAGTTCACAGCCAAATTGATTTCATCCATCTTTAATTACATTCTTGGCTGGGGAGTGTGGCTCAAATGGTAGAGCCCTTTCCTTGCAAGTGCAGAGCTCCAAGTTCAAACCCCAATACCACCACCACCAAGAAACAAATCTAATAATTACATTCTTAAAAAAATCATTTTGCTATAGAAGGGTTAGGAAGAAAAATATCAAAAAAGGAAGAAAGAAAACAAAAGAGATTCAGCAGTACATTTGACATGGTCATAAATATGAGCTATTAAGTAATCCACTGAGTCATACAACTAACATTAAATTCCTTCCTTCCTTCTTTCTTTCCTTCCTTTCTTCCTTCCCTCATCTGACTAATATTAATTTCTTTCCTTTCTTCCTCCCTCCCTCCCTCCTTTCATCTCCCTCGCTTTCTCGCTTGCTCCCTTTTTCTCACTTGCTCTATCTCTTTCTTTCTTGGTGGTACTGGGGTTTGAAATCAGGGCCTCACACTAGCTAGGCAGGTGTTCCACCACTTAACCTGCATTCCCAGCTCCTTTTCCCTTTTTTGTTATTTTTCAGATAGGGTCTTAAGCTTTGTCTGAGGCCAATCTTAAACCACAATGATCCTCCCACCTACACCTCTTGCACAGTTAGGACTACAAGTATACACCACCACACCCGGCCCTCCATGCATTTCTTTATTGAGCTGTCAGAAAACTCCCAGTCACTTTTTTCTTCTTTGCAAAGCTGAGTCTGGACACACCCGGTAACTTCTTTCTAGTGACCCAACAGGGACCTTGTGTTAATGAAAGATCTAACCAGACAACCATCTGCTCACCAAGGTCAGCCCATACTGTTCCCTTCATTGCAAGGACACCCCTGCAGCAAGTGAAAAGTGAAGAAGTGGTGTGAGTAAGCTAGAGGACCTGGTGGAAAGGAACTTCTCTAACATATGAACTGGCAACCAGAGAGCACTGCAGCCTGTCATTTGATACCCTTGGCCTGGAAGTCTGTGCCAGACATCTCTCAGAAAACACTAGCCTTCTGCCTAGTAAATAATGGCAAAACGCTCAGGTGCCTCCAAGTTCCAAATGATAGGCTCTTATTGATTTCGTTTGCCATACAAAACAGCATGAAACACAGGGCCAGGCCCGGACAGAATGGACAAATACAAATTTTAATTAAAATGGAAAATACAACCCAGAGCCAGGGTAATGATTTTTCTCCAGTCTACTGTTGCTCACAGCCTCCTCAATATGTCAGGAAATTCTTGGGGGAACAGATCTGTAGCTCTGAACTCCTCTGCTCTTCCTTGGCCTCTCACCACATTGAACTGGCTAGTCTCTGTAGACAAAAAAGCTAAACCACACGTGTACCACCGTGGACACCGTCAACCACCAGACATTAGGGGGGCCAACTCACCCCTCCCTTGTCTTTTCAACCAGAGACTTCTGGATCTCCAAACTTGCTAATCTGCACTTTTTATCAAATATTGTCTGAGTTCCAGAAAATTCTGTTTGACAATTGGCAATGAGAAAGAGGGTACAATTGTTGTGCTCTCTGAGGACAGCTGTGCTGCTGCTACGATCGCTTCGAAAATAAACCAAATAGTTTTCTGGAGTGTAGATTGCTAAGGCTCAGCAAGTTGACCATCCCCTCTGAGAGTCACCAGTTGAGACACCAGGACCTTCAAAGGGACACAAATATTGTTGGCATGGAAGTTAATACTCCCACCCAGTCAGTCAATTCACGTGTCTTGATATTAATGTAATTTTTAGATGCCCAAAATCCTTGCCCTTAATTTCTGGCATATGACTTCAATATTTTGGGAGCCGCATTACAGGCAGATTGAGAGCATACCCATCGAGAGCTTGGTGGCAAGCCAGTCTTACCACGGCCCTGACAAGCCACAGCCTTTGTCAAAATCACCTCTAGCTTTTCTAACTTAGATTTGGAATCTGTGCAAATTGAAAATGACAGTATGTATTTCAAAAAAATTAAAACAACATTGTAGTAAATTCCCCAATATGCTGCCTAACACATCATATGGGGCTTAACAAGAACTAGATTTTTACTCTTATGATTAAAAAGAAACATTCTTGGCTAAGTAGTTACAGACTTACAGAGGAGGAAAATGATAATATAAATGGCCCAAACTCATAGTTCTAAGGATAAATCTCAGTACTTAAAAGAAAACCTTCAACATCTGTTGGAGAAATACAAGACTGTACATCAACACTGAATAGCACTTGTGTTTTCATAAGGGTTGAATGCTGTAAGTTGATTTTAGAATTTGCTCCTATCTTGCTTCACTGTTAGTATTTATTTATTTATTAACATAGGGTCTCACTGTGTAGCCTAGATTAGCCTCAAATTCAAGATCCTCCAGTTCTAGCCTCCTGAGTTGCTGGGATAATAGGCATGTACTAACATACTCAGAAATTTTTACTTTTAATATAATCAGTGCTCCTAACTCTTGAAACCCTATCTCCTCTAATTCTTATCGTGCTTAGAAGACAGGCTTTGTGTATGTATGTGTGTATGTGTGTGTGTGTGCGTGTGCGCGCACGTTAAATTTGTTTTTGGAAATCATGCTTAGAGTGGGGCTCTAGAAGATTTATGCCTATTAAAATTCAAGAAATTTAGTGTTTGGACATTTTGACACCTGCTTTAAATGCCCAGAGATACTTCCTTGATGAGTTCCTCGTCTGGAATCTATTCTTATTGAGGGTGACCTGTGGATAAGTGATGTAACTTTATCTACAATGGGATGAAAATTGACAAATCTAAGTCAAGGACGTCTAACTTTTCATGGAAGTAAGCAAAATCCTCTGACTGTTGGCAAATAGACATTTTCCACTTAGCCTGCCTGATATTTAAAAATTAATTATCAATACTAAAAGAGAGAAAACAGGAGAATTCATATTAAAATCTAGCTTCCTGTCTTACATTTGAAAATCAAGAAGTCCATACATTTCTGCTTCCAAAAATATTAAATAGATACATTGTTCCCACTTCTTCCTACAGGATACAACCCAAAACCCTGGACATTATACTCAAAAATATAAGAAGATTCTGAAAGTTGGAAAGAAGAGGCAGTCCAAGTAGGGATCCACAGGTGGTGCATTCTGTGCAGTTTTGCTTTGTCTTGCTCCAAACTTGTAGCTAAAAAAGATGGCAACAAATACAGGCCACAAATGCCCCAATGAAAGCAAGTTTCCCCTAGCCAAAGTTCTATGAAAAAGATTGCCTAATAGAGAAAGCATTGAGACATCAACTACCCAACTCCAGCCAAACAATACTGAAAAAAAAATGGTGGCCCTATTCCATCTTCATCTGTCAAGTAGGAATCCCATGCTTCTATGCCAATAAGGCACTTCAGCTCAACCAGATTGGTTTCAGAGAAGGCCAAAAGGGGAGCCAACACTGGCAAGCCTTCCAGGAAATAATGAAGATCCCCGCTTCATAGGAAACCTGGGCTTTGAAATCCACAAAGCACTATCAAGCTGTCCTACCCCTTTTCCATAGGGATGGTACTGAAAGAGATCTGATGAAGAATCAGGTATTTTACTATCTCCCAGTGGTAATGAGCCCCATGCCCCTTGTATTATCAGTGGATGCCATGTGTGGTCCAGTACCAAGGGACTCCAATCCCTAACATCCAGGGAGGTATCAGTGTAGGTCTAGTGGGGAGCCAGCACTGCCAACCCTATAATCACACCCCTACTAAGCCCCTAACAAAGAGCTCCCTGTTTGTAGGAACTGATAAAGGCTGAGTGGAAAACTTGGCATTAATGAGGGAGGGACCCCTTTTCCTTGCCAGAATGATATCAGAAGAAACCAGCTAAAATAGAAGGTTTAAGCAAGCACCAGACTTTCACGACATAATAATCCAAATTTCCGTGTTTCAATACAAATAAGTTGGGATACAAAGATCCAGGAATATCTTAAACTGAACAAGGAAAGGCAATCAGAAGATGTCAACACCAAGATAACAAAGATGTTTGAATTATCTGACATATATTTTAAAGTAGCCATTATGAAATTGCTTCAACCAGCAATTAAGAATGCATTTCAAACAAATGAAGAAAAAAAAAGTTTCATCAGAGACATAAAATTTGTTAGAGAACAAAAAAAAAGATGTAAAGAAGACCCCCAAAGAAAATTTTAGAAGTGAAAAATACAATAATCAAAAAACAACCCTTGAATGATAGTCTCAAAAAAAAGGAAAGATAGAATAAAGAATGAGAGGAGCTGAAAACTGACTGATAGAAGTTACCCAACATGTACAAAAGAAAAGAAAAAAGTGGCTAGAAAAGAAAAAGGAAAAGAGCCCCAGGGACCTACGATCATGACAAAATACCTAACTCTCATGTCATTAAGAGTCCCGGAAAGAGAAAGAGAATGGGCTGAGAAAATGCAGAAATAGCAGTGGAACACATCTCAACTTTGTAAAAGACATGAAGATGCTGTGTCCAAGAGCTGAGTAAATCCCAGACAGGATAAATAGAAAGGCTTCCACATAGAGGCATATCATAGTTAGCCTTCTGAAAACAAAAAACACACAAACAAAACAGTTTTGAAAGAAGTGAGGAAAAAAATGACAACTTATCTGCAGGGAAAAGTGATTGGATTGAAAGCAGAT